TCTTCTATGTCTTAACATTTTTAGTAAAACTTTCAGTTTTATCTTTTAACATACAAATATGTTACAATTTTTTCCTTGAAGTGACATGTTTAAGTAATTGAGTTTTTCAAGAATATCCAACAAATAAGAGTTTTGAAAGCCATAAGTCATTATGAAAAAATTAACAAAATCACATTTCTACTCCATCAAAAAACATGTGTCAATTTCAATTTTAAAAATCTGTTTAAATTTCACCTTCTTGAAAGCCACCTTACTTCTGAATGTAGTAATAAGCTTTTGTCTTTCCAAAATTTTGAAAACAAATAACTGTTAAGGGCGCAGCTTTTAATGAAATTAATGATTTTGATAGTATCACAAAGCACAATATCTAACTCTGTTGATTTTTTTTGTCTACAAGTGCCTCCCAATGGATCATGCAGTGAGTAAAAGTGTTATGTTCATTGCCATTAGCTTTAACTTTTGCTATAAACCCAACATATTTACCCATCACTGCTCCAACACTGCACTGTCTGTACAGACTCCAATGCAATTTTTCCAATGTAAACCTTCATTTGTGAAAAATTCATCGACTTTAAAATATATATCTTCCCCTCTTGTGTACCCTTCCAAAGTGCAACAAAACAATAATTCCTCACATAGGCTTCCTTCATAAACACATCTTATGTAAAGCAACAACTGTGCCATGTTAGAAATATCAATTGTTTCATCTAACTGAATTGAAATTTTGGGCTTCCCGCAAGCTTGGTAATAAGCTGCTGGAATCGGTCATTGCTAATTTCAGAAATTCTTTTGGAAACAGTATCATTCGATAACGGAATTTTACAAATTTTATCCCCATACTTTTTCCCATGAACTACTTCTGACATTTTAATAGCAGCAGGTAACACGAGATCTTCTATAATGTAGGGCTTTTTTAGTTTTTGCAATTAAATAAGAAGATGCAAGTAAATACTTTTCCTTTATAGTAAAAAACTTCTCAAAACATTGTTTTTCTTTATTTGGAGATTTTAAAAGTCATGAAAAAGATTCCTTTGGTTTATTGCAGTATGTTGCATGCTTAGTATTAAGATGTCATTTTAGTTTGGCTGGTTTCATGCTCTCCACAGCCAAAACTTCATTCCAAATTAAGCAAAGAGGTTTTTCCACACCCACCATCATTATTAGAAATAAATCCGTATTGCAAAAATGATTCAACATATTTTCTTTTTCTTGTCAATTTAGGTATACCACAACCTGGTAGTGAAGGTTCTGCCACATTGTCATCAGTATTTTTACCTTTTCTGCCTAAATTTAGCCACTTATCCATAACTGGAAAATATTTTTCTCCTAAAATATAAATAGTTAATAATTTTTCAAATAAATACTAGCTTTAGTTTATGAAACTACATTTGTTTGTGCTTAATTTTTTTATTAATTTATTTTGATATATCAGCAATCACTTCCATATACTTTTGAGTTTAAAATTTTTCTCCCCCTTCCTCCCTACCACCCTCCTCAAGATGGCACACAATCTAATATAGGCTATACATATACATTCCAATTAAACATATTTTTGCATTAGTAATGTTGTAAGTAAGAATTAGAACCAATAGGAGGAACCACCAGAAAGAGGAAACAAAACAAAACAGAAGAAACAAAAATAGCAAATAGTATGCTTCGATCTGCATTCAAACTCCATAGTTCTTTCTTTGGATGTGGATAGCATTTTCCATCATAAGGCCTTTGGAGATGTCTTAGATCCTTGTATTGCTGGGAAGGGTTAAGTTTATCAATATTAGTCATAGCACAATGTGGCTGTTATTGTGTACAACGTTCTCGTGGTTCTGCTCGTTTTACTCAGCATCAGACCATACAAGTCTTTTAAGGTTTTCTCCAGTCAGCCTGTTTATAACTTCTTATAGCAAATAGTATTCCATTACATTCATATACCACAACTTGTTCAGCCATTCCCCGATTGATGGGCATCCTCTCAATTTCCAATTCTTTGCCACCACAAAAAGAGCTGCTGTAAATATTTGTGTACATGTGGGTCCTTTTCCCATTTGTATGATCTCTTTGGCATATGGCCCTAGAAGTGCTATTGCTGGGTCAAAGGGTATGCACATTTTTATAGCCCTTTGGGCATGGTTCCAAATTGCTCTCCAAAATGGTTGGATCATTTCACAACTCCACCAACAATGCATTAGTGTTCCAATTTTCCCACATCTTCTCCAACATTTATTATTTTCTTGTTTTGTCATCTTGGCCAATCTGATAGGTGTGATGTAGTACCTCAGAGTTGTTTTTATTTGCATTTCTCTAATCAATAGTGATTTAGAACATTTTTTCATATGACTATCGATGGCTTTAATTTCATCTGAGAACTGCCTGTTCATATCCTTTGACCATTTATCAACTGGGGAATGACTTGTATTTTTATAAATTTAATGTAATCAAAGTTGTCCATTTTGCTTTTCATAATGTTCTCTATCTCCTATTTGGTCATGAATTCTTCTGTTTTCCATAAATCTGATAGGTAAACTATTCCTTGCTCTCCCAGTTTGCTTACAGTATCAGCCTTTATATCTAAATCATGAACTCATTTTGACTTTATTTTGGTATATGGTATGAGATTTTGATCAATGCCTAGTTTTGTGCTTAATTTTTAAAAATTGATGTTCACATTTACATACACACATAGCAGTGATAGTGGAGAAATATTATTAAAGGGCTTTTATCTTTACTTGCTACAATTAAACACATGTCTTTGTAAAAGGAGATAACAGCAATTTTTTAAATCATTCTTTTTTGTTTGTTTTTATCACCTACTATTTCCCAATGTTCCTTTTTTCTTTTTGCCTCCCATAGACCCTTCTTCTATAATTGTAATAGGACACTGTCCAAAGAGGGCTGTCTTCCTGACAGAGGTCAATGGCCTGTTTGGTGAGCCTGCTTCTCAGTGTCAGCTAAGGAGGAAGGAGGGGACTGCTCTGGTGTTTTATGCTTGTCTACTTACTATTCAGTGAGAAAAAGGCTTTTTGGTTGGCTGCTAAGCCAACAATGCACCAGCTGGTCACACGGGTTTTTCTTTCCTTGTGGTGAGCAAGGCAACAGATCAAACATTCTAACACAGTACAATCCAAACATATACTAATTTGATACTTACATGCTAAGGAGTGACAATAGGAAAATATTAAAAGTCTTTATTTTCTGTAATTAAACTATTTTCTTTCTATAAGAGCAGAAAATTTTGTATGCACATTAAAAACACTGCAATTCATAACACAAAATAGTCTTGAATCTGAGCCAAGGTGTTTCTGGCAACATTCTTTGGCCTTGCACAGTGTGATGGTATGCTCAGTGCAAAGTGCGCATGTTGTGTGTTCAGAACCAAGGCTGCAGTGAAGTCCGCATGATACAACACAGGTAAGCACTGACAGAAACACCTCAGATTCATTATGTGTTTGATTTTGAATTAATTTTTGTTCATTGCATGTTCAAAAACCTTTTACTGTTGCCAAATTTTTCGCGACCCCCACATTCAGTTACATGACCCCATATGGGGTCTCTACTCACAGTTTAAAAAGTGCTTATCTATACCACTGATACATATAATTGGTTATGGAGCAGCTAGGGGGCACAGTAGATAGAGCGCCAGGCCCAGAGACAAAAAGACTCATCTTCCTGAGTTCAAATCCAGGTTCAGACACCTACTAGCTGTATGACTCTGGGCAAGTCACTTAACTCTGTTTGCCTTAATTTTCTCATCTGTCAAATGAGCTGGAGAAGGAAATGGCAAACCACTCCAGTATCTCTGCCAAGAAAACCCCAAATGGGGTCACAAACAGTTGGACATGACTGAACAACAAGAAGAAATAGAATTGGTTAAGGCTCTATCATCAGTCACCAGAATTAGAATCCTTCCATGGAGAAGATACTTAGAGCAGTTCACATTAGAATTCAAAACAGGGTTTAGGATAAAAGTTCCTAGTTGTGATACTTTATTATGTTAGATCAGCAATTTTTCCTCCCTAGTAGTTAATTTAGAATTAAAAGCCATCAAGGCAAAAAATTCCTTTTTCCCTGATATACTCCATGCTTACCTTATCCCACCTCAGCCCTACACCTCTCAGTTCCCATTCTGTTCTCCTGTTAATAAATTGCCCATATCATCCCTCTTCCCATGACATTCCTTCCATCTTGCACTTGTAGAAATCTGGATTGATCCCAGAAGCCAATGATTCTCTTTTTCCTCAAGGAGTTCAATGCCAAACTTCTCTTTCCCAACCATTCCCCTCCTACTTTCTTTCTCAAACACCCTAGGCCTCCCAGTTCACCAGCTTCCTGAACTCCCAAGGTCCAAATCTTCACTCTACCCCAGCCATGTATGGGGATGGTCATATCCTTGATCTTACAATCACCTTACTATTCACCCTCTTTCATACAAAACTCCCAAATTCCTTACTCAGATCATAATCTCTTATACTTTCATCTCTTACTTTCTCACACCTACATTCCTACTAAACCTTTTTTTCCCCCCACATTGGGAAGCCCCCATTAAGATTGGCAGCTAGGTGGCACAGTGGATAGAGCACCAGCCCTGAAGTCAGGAGTACCTGAGTTCAAATCCGGCCTCAGACCAAACACTTGACACTTACTAGCTGTATAACCCTGGGCAAGTCACTTAACCCCAATTGCCTTAAAAAAAAAGATTTTGATGAATACCTGTTAAGACTTAGGAAAGATACAAAAGAAAGATTTTTATTTTTGGAGAAATAGACAATAGAGCTAGGAAGAAAAGATAGGAAATAATATAGACTACAAGACAAGTAAATGTTAAATTGTTTTTGTAAAACACATCAAAAAGTCACTAGTAAGGCAAAGAGGAAAGCAGCTTATTAAAACTCTGGTTTCCTCAGCCCTTGCCCCTCATTCTTCGGAGAAAGAGGTTTTGGTTCAGTGAATCCTCTTCTTCCAACCAAGGGCAGTAACTGAGCCCTAATGACTAGTAGAATGATCCCTTAGGTTCCACTGTTACTTTCATTGGGTTTCTGTAGAGGTTTTTTGAAGAGCTTGTGTTTTTGTCTCAGTTCTTCCATTTTTGAGGCCAAAATCATCATGTAGTGATCTCTACCCAAATAGACTTTCTCTAGTTGCTGTCCTACTATTTCCTCTACCATCTTGGAGGTATCAATGACTTCTCTGACAGCTTTCAGCTCTTGGCTGTAGAGAGTCAGAGTCTCACACATATACTGAAATAACAGGCCACACTGATTGATGTTAGGGGCTAAGGACTTACTAGGTTTCCTCCATTCAGTTTCATAGACATGGATAAAGGCAGTGATCAGCTGGTGGAAATCTGAGAGGATCAGTGTCAGACGGAAAGCCTGGCCCATCTTGCTGCTGCCTTTGCTGGGCATTTTCCCTTGGAGGGCTGGAAATTCTCTGAGCTCCTCAAGCATTTCAGTGAGCTCATTCAGTTTCTTAGAAAGTTCTTTCACCTTGCTCTCCCTTGACTTCAGATTTTCTTTTGTCTTCAAGTGGCACTCAATGTCCAGTGGCAAAGGGCTCAGTTTGGGGTCTAGAATCTCCTGGAGATGTGAACTGAACAACTTCTGTAGCAGCTTCTCATTTTTCTTCATTAAATTGTTGAAGTTCTCTACACCTGAGAAGTTGGCACATCCAGGACCCAGACTTCTGACCAGATCCAGTAACTGTTTAAAGAAAAAGAGCTGCTTTTTCACATTGCCATAACCTTTGATGAGATTCTGGTCATTTGGTCCACACAACATCAGTTCATGACCTATTCTTACCAACTCTAATATTTTCTCTTCAGCTTGAGGGTCCTGAAAAGTAGCAAATAACTCTTCAAAGGGAGGATCCAGTCTTCCAAACAACCATTCCAGAATAGTCAAACGGTAAATTGAAGGGCTACATAGCAACTGTTTGATTGTTTTCAGTTCGGTGATATGAAGACCCTCAAGGAAGGGACACTTTATGTCCATAAGCCTCTTGAACACATCCAGAACCTCCAAAGTAAGGCAAGGGTCCTCCTCTTCATCTTTTCCTAATTCCTCTACTTCATCTACCCACTCCTCCTCTTCTGCTGTCTTTTTTTCTTCTCCCTCTTCTTTCTTCTCCTTTTTCCTGTTTATTTGCCAGGCAGTCACTTTCTCACTACTACTGCCCCAGCTGTATGGGCAGGTGTCTGCCATCTTCCTGGACTCCCTACCCAGCCTAGGATTCTATTGGCAGGACTGGCCATTTCATTGGTTGGAGTGAATACTCATTGTGACCAAATCATGTTACCCCTCCTTACTTTCCCATTCTATCCCTCTGCTCTGGACTAATTTTCTTCCCTTCACAACCTTCACAATAGTTAAACAGATGACCTTTACACTTAGCTTGAATTTTGCCACTCATGCATTTACAAACACCAATTCTGTGGTACTGCATGTTGAAGATTCATACAACCATGTTCACTTGACAAATTCATGTTATTTCATATTAGAGCTCAACTGGGTCTTCACTGCTATAGACCATCCAGGTCTCCTTAGGCCCCTCCTCCAGTCACCACAAACTACTTGGCCACTCCTAGATCCCTCCCACAGTCTTTCTGTATATAAGGTCCATCTTGTCTCCATTAAAGTGCTCAGATTCTTATAATCTAGCCAATAGCTCAGTAATGTTCATATTCCTTAAGAGTCTGGCCAATATGGTGGATCTTTAATAAACCTTGTCTTTGGCTGAAAGAAAGCTTGGGTCAAATTCTTTTGGGTAGGACCTGTGTATTGTGATTTTGGGATCCCAGCACCCCTAAACCTCAACACTTTTGCTCTTTCTGATTGGTTCTGTATCCACAAAGCATCTGTTCAAAACCTCTTCTTTCATCAAGCAACTTATACCATCCCCAAACTACACCCGTCCCTCTCAGCAGAAGTTCTGGAAATATATATTAAAACAAGTACCGACCAATTGCATCCTTGAGGGTCAGGACTTTTTTTAAATCTTTCTCTGTACAAGACACTTAGCACAGTGTTGTGCATATATATACTTGTTGATTGATTGATTGATTCTCCCTCCTCCGGTTCTGACTGCTCCTTCTCCAAACAAACCTGCCTCCAACTTTGTAGGACATTACACTGATTTTTAACACTACTGTGCATTATGTGGGCCACTGATAGTCGCTTCCTCAGAATGACTGGTCTTTGCTCTAGTTGTCACAAGGGCACCATAATAGGTCTTCTTCTACCTCACCTCCCAAACCTGATCTGGAGACTAGATATCACTGAAGACTTCTATTGAGGTGAGGTATACTCCCTGCACCAAAATATTAAATGTGCCAGAGGCTCTCTTGCCCTCATAAAACAAAACAAAACAAATAATCACCTATATTTATACAAAATACCTACTACTATTCATTTTTATTCATTAATGTAAAATTGATTTCAGTTAACTCTGTTTAAAAGTTATATCTGGTCTAATGCTGAATGACATTAATGAAAAGGAGAGATAGTGCTCTACTATCCCCATCTAATTAAGTGCTCTACTATGGTTTTGTACCCCCTGTCCTTCCATATGGCTTTCTCCTTTCCCCTCCCATTGTCCAGTCCTGTCCTCTCCTTTCCTCACAGGGGCTATCATGACCTTCCCTGAGGGTGTTCTGACCAAAGGAAGGTAAATTTTGATGCCTGAAACCTACCTAGTTGTCCTGGGATTTACTGGCTAGATTTCTTTCTTAAAGACCAAGCCTTAAACATAGTTCACTGTCTCTCATTGATTGGCCAACAATAGGTCTCTGACCAAGTACCAGTTAATGGTTATTTTTTGGGCCTTGATGTGAGGGCTCAGAGTAAATGCGAATAGTAATTGTTTCTCTATAGACCAGCAAACCAGAGGGTTTTCCCTTCCCAATTTGATTTTTTTTTAATTAAAAGGCCATCCCTTGACCCACTTCTTAAACAGGCCTAACCAATGAAAATGTTTTGCCTCAGGCAAAGTGAAAATTAGCAAAGACCTTAGCTTAAAAAGGCCAAAAACTCCCACTGCAACCTCAGCCATCTCCAGTAGTCTTGATCTATATCTGGCTACTGGACCCAGATGTCTCTGGAGGAAAAAGTGAGGCTGGTGACTTTGCACAGCCCTCTGTCACTTAAATCCAATTCCATTACACATCATGGATCACCTCCCTGATGTCATGGTCCTCTTTGAGAACAAGGGACAAACCACACATAACCACAACCTGAAGTCCATTAGGTTTAAACAAATGAAGGAATGAATGTTATTTTGTTATTGTTCAATTATTTCAGTTGTGTCTGGCTCTTTGTGGCCTCATTTGGGGTTTTCTTGGCAAAGATACTGAGCAGTTTGCCATTTCCTTCTCTAGGTCATGTTACAGATGAGGAAACTGAGGCAGAATTAAGTGCCTTGCCCAGGGTCACATAGCCAGTAAGTGTCTTAGACCAGATTTGAACTCAGGAAGATGAGTCTTCCTGACTCCAGGCCTGGTGCTCCATACCACCTAGTTGCCCCCAAATGTTAGTTGTACCTATGGCCAAAAGGTATTAAGAGCCCAGTCTGCTTGATGGAGTAATGGGACCTGGATCCTTAACAGGAAAAGACCATGTCTTTGAAAGCAACCAGTCCCTGAATTTTCCCATATATTTCAGCAGCCCAGATCACTGGCCTCTGCTCAAGGCAATTGGCCCACCCCAGCCCACCTAGATCTCCTAATTAGTTTACTTGACATTCTTTTCACTTTCTCTCATGGCCCACCCCAGACTACTTGCATATACTGATCACTCCTTAATCCCATCTAGATCACCAAATTAACTTACTTGATGATCTTTCACAGTTGATCTGGCCTACCCCAGACAATTTACCACTCTTGAATCCCATCCAGATCCTTTCACTGTCCTTTTTGTATATAAGCATCAGTCTCACCTCCATAAAGTTGCAGATTCCCTAAGTATATTGGCATTACAATAAACCTTGTCATTTGACTGGAAGGTTTGAGTGCATGAATTCATTAGAGGTGGATGAGGCCCTGTACCTTGACATTTTGGGATTCCCAGGAACCCCAAACTGTACCATGCTACCTAGGTCTCATCTCATAGGATCATAGATTTAGAGTTGTAAAGGACCTACAAGGTCATCTTTACTTTTATAGATGAGGAAACTGAGGTCCAGGGAGGTAAAGTGACCTTACTAAGGTCTTATAAAAAGAAGTGACAGAGCAAGGTTTTGAACCAATGCCCCCTGTTTAAAATCCAATACCCTCTTTAAACAGCATGCTGCCTGGGCTTGGTGAAAAACTTCTTGAAGGTCAAAAGAACAGCTTATGCAAACCCAGCATGTCATGATGGACATTATCTTCAGGGAACTGATTCAGGTGGGAGAGGGACAAATGAGGCCTCTTAGAACAAGCAAGCCAGTTATTGTCCTATTCTGAGCTCTACTAAGTCTAATGCCAAGAGGAAGCAGATACTCAGTGAAAAAAAGACATAGTTGCCCCTACGATGCCTTGGGAAGCTAGTTGAACGAGAGAGACAGGATAAGTTGCTGGTACATATCCAGGTTTTTCTGCATAGATTTATTCCTAGAGAATTATAGTGCCATAGAAAGAACATCACATTAGCAATTAGGAGACTGGATTCTTGTTCTGTTAAGGCAGTTAAGTCACTTCTTGGCCTGTCTCCTAACCTGTAAAATGAGAGAATTAGACTAGGACCACTTCAGTTCTTACAGTCAGAGCTGCTCTTCTAATGGAATTATTTACTGAAGGCCTCAGGTATAATCTAGTTGTGGAATAGTAATAGAGGTAGAGGAAGTTTGGTATTTTTTTTTTTTTTACTATTGTATCTGTATTGGAAACTCTGGATGATGAACTTCCTGTACCAATGCAAACTGATACCTGTTTGTTTAGGAGATTTGCCTGGAGCACTGAGAGAATAAGTGATTTGACTAAGGTCAGACAACCAATAAGTGGAAGAAACTGTTGAAGCCAAGCTTTCCTGACTCCAAGGCCAGCTGTGTATCTACTATGCCAGACTGACTGGCTTTTAAGCACAAGTTTTTTTGCATATTCTTAAAAATAGAAGGATACAGTAGAAATTCCGTAAGTAGGTCACTGTAAGTCAAAGGACAGGAAAAACTTGATATTTTTATGTTAGGATTTAGAGGAGGGTGGGAGAAGCAAGAATTTGAATTTAAGACACCAAGTTTTAATTATTCCAAGGAAAGGTTCAAGTTGGAGGAGGGCAGGTTGGAGTATTACCAGAAATAACTGTGGTGTAAAAATAAGAAGCATCAAAAAACCTCATTTTTTAAAAAGAAACAGGCAGCATATCATATTATAGTGATGAGGCTTAGAGGTTTAGGGGTGCTGGGACCCTGAGATCATGACACGCAGGTCCTACCCAAAAGAATTCGAACCAAGCCTTCTTTCAGCCAAAGACAAGGTTTATTAAAGATCTGCCATTATTAGCCAGACTCTTAAGGAATCTGAGAGCCTGTGAGCTATTGGCTAGATTGTAAAAATCTGAGCAGTGGCTAAATTATAAGAATCTGAGCACCTTAAAGGAGACAAGATGGACCTTATATACAGAAAGACTGTGGGAGGGATCTAGGAGTGGCCAAGTAGTTTGCTGGTTCAGTGAGGTAATAGAATGTCAGGGACCTGGACCACAAGGCCAAGGGAGAATGCAGCCTAGCTAGTATTAAGGGTGGGAAGTGACCAGGGACTCTAGGGTGGTAAGACAATGGAGAGCAAGGCTAGGTTAAGGGTAACAGAGAATTGGGAGATTGGATGAAGCTGATAAAGTCTAGAGGTTAGGGGTTCTGGAACCCAAAATCATGATACGTGGGTCCTGTCTGAAAGAATTAGACCCAAGTCTTCTTTCAGCCAAAAACAAGGTTTATTGAAGATTCGCCATATTAGCCAGACTCTTAAGGAATCTGAGCATTTGTGGGCTATTGGCTAGATTGTGAAAACCTGTGCAGTGGC